AGGCACAACAGACATTGTTCAGGATACACTGTATGTTAAACCACAAATTAAGTTTCAATCAGTTTTTTTTTTTTTTTAGAGAGATTTTAGCTACAGGGCGCGTGAGAGAGACAGAGAGAGACAGAGAGATGGAAAGCAAGAAATCACCCCCCGGGGGAATGGCCACTCCACAATCCCTTCTCCTCCATTCTCCTCTTGGGATCTTGGGCACGTACACAAATGCACCCAGCGTGAATTTAAGCCACCAGGTCTGGGACTTGAACTGCAGTCGACTACATGGGACATAGCCATTACACCAACTGCTGGTCTCAAGTTTCATTCAGTTTTAAAAGATATGTATCACAAATCATCTTCTCTGACCACAAAGGACAAAACTGGAAAATAATAATAGAAATACACTTTGAAACTTCACAAAACTGTGGAAGTTAAATGACACACTTAAATAATTGATGGCTCAAAAATAAAATTGCAGGGAAATGGTAAATACTTAGGACTTAAAATGACAACAAAACATACAAAAATATGGGCTATAGCAAAAACAGTGTGAAAGGGAAAACTTATAATTCTAAGTGCTCATGTGAAAAACAAAAAGACCTCAACTCAACAACCTGTCTTTACAACTTAAGGAACTAAAAAAGAAAAACTAGAAAAAGAAGAAAAGTTTGTGGGAACCGAACACAAAGCCCACAGAGGAAGGACATGAGAAAAGTCAGAGCAAAGATAAACAAGAGAAAAAGAGTGAAACCAAAAATTGGTTCTTTGAAAAGATCAACAAGAATTGAAAAAAACTTAAGCTAGATGAACTAAGACAAAAAGACTCAAATAACTAAAATCAGATAAGGGTGGAGGGCATTGCTACGGAAACAAAATGATTTTTAACCAAGTCCTGCGAGCTGTCGCATGCCCGCAAATTGGGCAGAGTAAATGAAACGGACAAATTCCCAGAAACGTAAAACCAGTAAGACAGAATCACAAAGAAATACATGGGAAGTCCAGACGGCAGGGACTGGTGAGAAGGTTGAACTGTCATGTGAAGGGCTAAGTGCAGTCCTTCTCACACTCTTACACAACTAAAACAAAACCAACCCGACGAGGAGTGCTGCCTCCCTCTCTGTGAGGTCCATCACCCTGCTAGCGCGACCACACAGAGATACCGTAGGAAAGGGTTACGGACGATGTGGCTCGGC